CTAACACTAGCCAACTCTACACAGTTAATTACAGACCGCTCCTCGAATCTATCCCACAAGATCTCAAAAGCCTTCGCACTTCTACCCTATCGACGTTAGGTAGAATAGCGACCCTAAAAATGTGTATACTTCCTAAAATACTTTACGTCTTTCGAACACTACCTATCCCAGTCCCCTACTCTTTTTTCACCAAACTCCAGGCGATTCTAAATAAATTCTTATGGAACTTAAAAAAGCCTAGATGCACTACGAATCTACTAATACGCCCTACCTCCAGAGGGGGAGCAGGCCTTCCACACGTGAAATCCTACTACCAAGCTGTCCTACTGGACCAGCTCTTCTTCTGGTGGCACCCTTCCCCTGAGAAAATATGGACCACAATGGAAACATCTTTGTACCACCCACACGTCTTAACAGACACGTTGTTCCTACCCCGCACCGCTTATACTCAAACAAACCACAAACATCCATGTATCAAGGCCTCCTTAACAGCCTGGTATGACTTTATTGAATATAACAAAGCGGGGAACCACAATGTCCAAATTCTCACCCCACTAACATCTCTTCTCCACCTCATTCCCAATTTAAACTTAAAAACATGGACGGCCCTTGGCATACTCCATATTCAAGACATATACACCTCTGATACACTAGATTCCTTTTACGTCACCCAAAATAAATTCCACCTTCCGGACAACGAACAATTTACCTATATCCGCATAGCCCATGCGCTCTGTAAAACTAAAATCCCACTTACCTTGGAAATCCCTGCACCGGTCAATCATTTCTTTCATAGAACCACCTACCCAAGGAAAGGAATTTCCGCATTCTACACCCTTCTAATTGAAAAGCAATTTACAACGTACACATCTTCCTTAACCAACTGGGAGAAAAAATTACATCAATCCTTTTCCCCTAATTTATGGGAAAAAACATTTAGCATCACTTACAAAGCTTCGAAATGTTCCTCCCACTGGGAAACGTATTTAAAAATCCTACACGAATGGTATATGACCCCTACTAAACTATCATTATTTTACCCACAACACTCGCAAGCTTGCTGGAGACATTGCGGAGAGACCGGCTCACTTTTCCATATACTTTGGAACTGTAAGTCAATTAAGTCTTACTGGAACAAAGTTTTTCACATATTATCTTCAATTACGAATACGTCAATTACTCCAAACCCCGCTTTAGCCCTCCTGCATATTGGCATAGATAAATTCCCCGTAAATTCACGGACCATTATTCTACATACTCTAGCAGCTGCAAAAATCAACATTACCAGACTTTGGCGCTCTAATACTACTCCCCTCCTGTCTCGCCTCTTTCAAGACTTAAATCTGCAATGTGAAATGGAAAGAAGAATAGCCTCCCACAACTCATCTTCCCACAAATTTACAGCTCAATGGTCTCGATGGTTAAAACACCCAAACTGCTCTGTAAAATGATTACTATTTTGATCTGATCTTACATATACATAACAAAACGAGTATTCTTTTGTGCCGCCCCCTTCTGTCCCCCCCCCCCCCCCTTTTCCAATTCCTATCTTCTCCTTAATTAAAACCTAGTTACTTTGAGAAAGTTCACTCGACACCGAGCATACCTCTCATGTAACACCTGGACTATATAATATCCCCGGCCTATTGGTGGGGACCCTTCACCCATATCTATATTTGTATGTACTACGATTTCCTAAGTGAACTTGATATTCTCATTTACCTGTTCATCTTTTCTGTATGTTTCAAAAACCTTTCAATAAATAATATTGAATATAAAGAGTAAGGTGGACCTCAGTCTGCTCACCAATCTTGAAGATATCAAGGCTCTTGGAGGAAGTGTGTCCTGGAACAGGCTCTTGAAGGGCTGCAGCGCAATTAAGCATGCCGATTGGCAACCTGATGACCCAGGGACTCAGCGATGTCTGCTGATGAGGAGCCTGTGGCTGTAGATCTGCACTCGGTGATGGAGTTTGCTGGATGGAAGGGCCTCTGCTAAGACAGCGATACCCGCACACCAGCAGATGGGGGGGGCTTGGTCTCCCTCTATCTCCTCACTTTATCCCCTGTAGCCGTAGCACCATGGTTCTCTTTCCTTTCTTCGTTGGCAGCTTACATCTTTCCCCTTCTTCTTCCTAGGCTCAATGGTTCTCTCTTTCTGTTGCTGGAACCTGCTGGGGGCTGTAGTCCATGCCCCATAAAATCCCACAGGCTCCCTGTTTTCTGGGACTACATGTCCCAAGATCCTCTCCTCCCTTGGCAGCCTATTGGCCCACCACTTTGGCCATTGAGGAGGAGGGGAAGAATCAGAATGGGTGGCGGCGGGCTGGGTCCCAGTTCTCAGAGGCCATGTATGTGTATAAGAGAAGGTGGTGAGAAGACTTGAGTGAGGCCAATCTGTAGAGACAAAGTCTGCTCTTTCCTCCGCTGAGTACACCACATCGCTCCACTGACAGGAGGAGGGGGGTGATACTGACAGTCAACAGCTCGCCTTTTAGCTGATTCACACATGTGGGTTGCAGATTGAAGCACCGGACATATGTGAACAGGCACCATAGAAAACAATGTTATTTCACATGTCATGCGTATTGGATGCGGTTCAAACCGCATCCAATCCGTATATATACACTACAGCAGGGCTTAAAATTTCAAGTCCTGAGCTACTAGCCAGGCCTTAGAGTTACTCGCCACCAACAAACACAAACAGAGACACCTGTACACACACACACAGACATGTACATACACAGAAATACACTTGCAAAGACACATGTACATACACAGACACATGTACATACATACACAGACACATGTACACAGACACATGTACGTACATACACACATACATGCACACACACAGACATGTACACACACACACATACATGTACATACACACAGACACATGTACAGATACACACATGTACACGTACACCCCCCCCCCATAAAAAGTTGCAGTACTTCGTTGTTCACTCACAGATATGGGTACTGCACTCTAGGGGGAGGCAGAGAGCACAGCACACACTCCTTGCTTTGCTTTCACTGCGATCAGCTATTGAGCAGTCTGACACCTCCCAGTGCCAATGACAGATCTGGCCTGAGCTCCGAACCTGCTCAGCAAGACGGCCCTGGGGGACACACCCGCCCCCACCATAATTTCCACTCGCTATTGGCGAGCAGGCGAGTGGAAGTTTCAAGCCCTGCACTACAGTATATTGCCAGAAGTATTGGGATGCCTGTCTTTACACGAACATGAATTTTAAGGGCATCCCAGTCTTAATCTGTAGGGTTCAATACTGAGTTGGCCCAGCCTTTGCAGCCATAACAGCTTCGACTGTTCTAGGAAGGCTGTCCACAAGGTTTAGGAGTATGTCTTTTTCAGAAGCGCATTTGTGAGGTCAGGCATTGATGTCGGACGAGAAGGCCTGGCTCACAGTCTCCACTCTAATTCATCCCAAAGGTGTTCTATCTGATTGAGGTCAGGACTCTGTGCAGGCCAGTCAAGTTCCTCCACCCAAAACTAACTCATCCATGTCTTTATGGACCTTGCTATGTGCACTTGGTGCTCAGTCATGTGGGAACAGGAAGAAGCCATCCACAAATTGCTCTCACAAAGTTGGGAGCATGAAATTGTGCAAAATGTCTTGTATGCTGATGCTTTAAGAGTTGCCTTCACTGGAACTAAGGGGCAAAGCACAAAAACAACCCCACACCATAAACCCCCTCCACCAAACTTTACACTTGCAACAATGCACTTAAGCAACTGTTCTCCTGGCAGTCGCCAAACTCAGACACATCCATCAGATTTCCAGACAGAGAAGCATGATTCTTCACTCAAGACAGTCTCCACTACTCTAAAGTCCATTGGCGGTGTGCTTCACACCACTGCATCCAACGCTTTCCATTGCACTTGGTGATGTAAGGCTTGGATGCAGCTGCTCGGCCATGGAAACCCATTCCATGAAGCTCTCTACGCACTGTTGTGCTAATCTGAAGGCCACACGAAGTTTGGAGGTCTTTAACTATTGACTCTGCAGACAGTTGGCGACTTCTGCGCACTGTGCGTTTCAGAATGCACTGACCCCGCTCTGTCATTTACCATGGAGTTACTTTTGTCCCCAGTTGCTTCCACTTTGTTATAATACCACTAACAGTTGACCGTGGAATATATAGTAGTAAGGAAATTTCATGGATGGACTTATTGCACAGGTGGTAACCTATCACAGTACAACGCTTGAATTCATTGAGCTCCTGAGAGAGACCCATTCTTTCAAAACTGTTTGTAGAAGCAGTCTGCATGTCTAGATGCTTGATTTTATACATCTGTGGCCATGGAGGTGATTAGAACACCTGAATGCAATGATTTGGAGGGCCGCCCAATACTTTTGGCAATATAGTGTATGTGAACTGGCACTTTCTTCTGTCACCGCTGCTGTCACGGAATTAGCATCAATAGCAAGTTGACATAATAATTATTAAAGGACTAAAGAATTTGGCATACTTAACTATTTGACAATCACAGTTTATGACAGAATATTTTTTAGCAGTAACAATGTATTTAAATAGTAAATTTGGCTAGCAGGAGGGCAGAAAATTGTATTGTTTCATTGGTGGTCACTGGGAAAATGCTCCCTTCAGTGGAAAAGAGATCCTTAGCTTGGTACTGAGTGAAGTGTCCCCTTACATTAACAGCCAGTAGAAAAGGAATCCTGTGGATTGGTGGTCAATGGGAGAAGGACCACCAAACATTGGTGGTCAGTGGGAGATGGGCCCTTTTTCCTTTTACAGTTATGGTCAGTGAAAGAAGGGCCCCATTACACTGATAGTAAATGAAGTGCCCCATTACAATGGTGGTTAATTGGAAAAATGCCTCTTACAGTGGTGATCAGCGGGAAGAATGCTCCTTACATTGGTTCTTGGTAGGAACAATGCTCCTTACATTTGTGGTCAGTGAGAAGAAGGCCCAATACAGATAGATAAAAAAATATTGTTATGCCAATCATTACCTTAATGAGCCATTTCACGTCTCTGATTTATATACCCATCTAAAGGATAATAGCATACCTGTTTCAATGGTTTTCTTGATTGGAAGTCACACTCATCCAAAACATCCTTCATGCTCTTGTAACAAACTGTCCTTGCTAGTTTAATCTTCAGTGTGTATTTTATACCTTTCACAACCTACAGAATAAAAAGCATATATTGACTTTGTTTTCTGATTACATATTTATTCAGTCTTACACCTCACTAAAGTAACAATCCAGTTTTCTCACCTGTATCATAGCTTTCTCTATCTCCAGATCTTTAAATAGGAAAGCATCATTGGACATGTTGTTGTATGCATACACAGTTATCCTTGCTGCTTTCTTGACTTCTGGGTCATTCGTGCTGGCATTTTTAGGAAACCCAGGGTCCAATGTAGTGGGGAGCATGTCTATAACAAAAACAATATACTGGATGGTGACAAAGCAGTAATACAATTGAGCACATAGGTAGTGGTTGTGATTTTATTTTAAATGGGTTGTAAATGTTGTCAATATCAATATTTTTATTTTGGTGGAAGGAGATAACAAAACATGACATGTAAATTCATACTTAACCCTTAGATCAATATGTAAAGATCAGGACAACTGAAGTATTACTACTTATATACTTCAATATTTTGCAATGCAGCCCAGGCAGGTGTCTCAGGGTGGGGGAATGATTGGTAGGTTGGGGACACATATTAGGATGCACAATGAGTACTGACCAGTTGTGCATTTTGAGCCCAGAGCTTGGTTAAAATGAATGGTAACCTGGGAAATTACTAAAGTAAGATTTGTAAATATAGTTCAGTAGTACATGCAAACCTTTCTTTAAAGGAGAAGTATGGACAAAGTTATTTTGACCATACTTCTCCTGTGGGTCACAGGAGTGCTCTTAGTTTTGCACTCCTGTGACCCTGATTTGGCCAACAGCAGGCTAAAGTTTGCTATCAGCTGACGTCATAGAGCTGGTCCAGGCTCTGCAGGGATCTTGACAATGTCAGGATCAGCCCATATGCTAGTCCGGCAGCTTGCTCAGCTTCTCAGCATCCTGCTGGAAGACTGATCCAGCCTCCCCTGGGCGTTCTACAGTCTGGCGCTCCAGTGAGTACTGCAGTCCAGGGCGCATTTGCAGCAAGGCAACCAAGGCGCTTGCCTAGGGTGGCACTTTTCAGGGGGTCAGCGTGGCAGCGCCACCCTCCCCTTTCCTATGGAACGGACACTTAGGACAGGGGCTGCTGTTATGTGTCTTACCTGTCTTCATCTCCCTGGTGGATGATCCTGGATCGCGATATGGGCGAGATGACATGCCGCCCCTCTCATCTGGCCACACCCCTTTGATCACTGGGTAGCCTATGGCAGCCTGTCCCTCCCTCTGCAAGCTCCTCCTCCTTTCCAGTGATCGACCACAGGACCTGTAGCTTAGGGAAAGCACACAGGCAGAGAGGAGGAGCCGAGCGGCAGCACAAGGATCGATGAAGCTGATCGCAGTGAGGGAGATGGTGAAGAGGAGGAGAGCAGCCAGAGAAGGAAGACAGCAGATCGGTAAGGTAAGTGTCTGTCTCGTGCGGCGGGGATCTGGGCAGAGCAGATGATGCTACTGTAGCCAGGTGTGCTGGCTGTGGATGGGAGAGGGAGGGAGCCCTGGTTGGAGGAGGGGTCAGCAATGTAAGCATCATTGGTGTCAGTGGGAGTAATAGTGCCCCATCATTAGTGTCAGTGTGGGAGGAATAGTGCCCCATTCACTGACTATGATTGGGCACTATTCCTCCCACTGACACCAATGATTGGGCACTATTCCTCCCACTGACACCAATGATGGGGCATGATTCCTCCCACTGACACCAATGATTGGGCACTGTTCCTCCCACTGACACCAATGATGGGGCACTATTCCTCCCATTGACACCAATGATGGGGCACTATTCCTCCCATTGACACCAATGATTTGGGCACTATTCCTCTTACTTACACCAATGATGGGGCGCTATTCCTCCCATTGACACCAATGATTTGGGCACTATTCCTCTTACTGACACCAATGATGGGGCACTATTCCTCCCACTGACACCAATGATGGGGCACTATTCCTCTCACTGACATCAATGATGGGGCACTATTCCTCCCACTGACACCAATGATGGGGCACTATTCCTCCCATTGACACCAGTGATGAGGCACTATTCCTCCCACTGACACTAGTGATGGGGCACTATTCCTCCCACTGACACCAGTGATGGGGCACTATTCCTCCCACTGACACCAGTGATGGGGCACTATTCTTCCACTGATACCAATGATGGGGCACTATTCCTCCAAATGACACTGATAATGAAATAAAATAAGAGGTGGAGCTTTAATAGGAAGAGGTGGAGCCTAAAGAAGGGGTGAAGTTTACAGATGAAGGAGTGTATCTTAAACAGAAAGGGGTGGGACAAATTTAGATGCGGGGAGTGCCTGATTTTAGTCTTGTCTAGGGCAGCACAAAACCAAAATAACACCGCTGACTGCAGGGACAGGGCACAAAGCGTCGACTCACAGTCACTGCTCTCTGCTCACTGCAGACACGAGAACTGAGCAGTCAGTTGTCCTTGATCACTCAGATCTTGGTGTAGAGGTGGCAGGGGACAGATGCAGCATTGGATCAATGCTGCATCCACCTAGTTGTGTATGAAAGTTAATTTGTATTAAATCCCGCACTTCTCTTTTAAATCAAGTGTCAATTAGCATGCAGTGCAGGGATTTCTACAGAAGGAACACTATTGAGTTTACTGGCATTTGATGAATCAGGGCCTATGAATATTCTGAACAATGCAATTGATATTCCTGTTTAAGGAAAACTAATGCTAAAGTATCTCCTGAAAGTTTCCATACGGTTAGTTTGGCTTTTCATCTGATTTTATGTAAATAAAGTTTCCTTTCCATACACGAGGTTTGAAATGCTTGCCCTCCAAGCCAGCAGGGGGTCCTCCACCATGCCTAAGGGTAAGGCAATCCTACATATGGATAGAGTCGGGAAATGTCAGAGTATTTTGTAGCCTTATTAGTGAGAATAAAATACAGTTGTCACCAGAACAAAAATAGAGGGAATATCTTCCAAAAGGGCATGCCAATTCTGATGACAAATGTCATCAGAACTTTCCACTTTCACTTTCCAAAAATGTCCTCTCACTTACTGTTGTATCCCAGGGTCAGAAATGTTCAAGCGGACCCGACTGGACCATCCATTGTTCTCTATGGAGCGGCACATGAAAATGGACATGTGTCCATTTACACCCTCCTTCAACTGAGCTGCTAAAAACAGATGGATGGGGATATACTCCCCATCTGCTTAGCGGATCAGATGACATTCGGATGTGAACGGGCAGGTGGTCCATTTACATCTGACTGCCCACAGAGGATAGGGGGTTGTGTAAATGTCCACTCTGCAGTAGTGGAGTAGACAAGGACCTGTCATCCGCTTGCTCAGCGGAGATCAGCAGACAGACCCTCCGCTGACCAGGTGAATCTGCTTGGCGGAGTCCACCGATGTGAAAGGAGCCAAAAGGGAAATCTCTTTAGTGAGATAGCTTACAATAAATATTTTAGGAAAACTATATTGCAGACATAGGCAAGATTATAAAATATCAACTAAATGTTTTGATGAGAAAATTATAAGATGAGATAACAAACACTTCTAAAACAACCTCAGCTTAGTGAAATGCCCCTATATTCTGAACAGCAATGCCAAAACTGGGGTTTCAAAAAACAACCAATTATATCAGAAATACAGCTTTATCCCTGTATAGAATGTCACTCAATCCATGGGACAGGATCCCTCATTGTGATCCTATTTCTTGTAAAGAAATTCAAGATTTTGTCACACAGCTCTCCTTGGACTTAAAGTCGTATGTAATATCACTAGAATCAAATGGAGTATGTGTGTAACACCCTCCAGTGTACATAGGTTTTTTTGTGTTTAGTTAGAGGCTTACTAGAAGCCTGGGTTTGAGTCAGCGAAGTTACTTCAGGATAAAGCGTAAGGGCTCTGCAGGTCAGTTCTCTGATACCTCCCATTGCTCTAGAAACAAAATTTCTAGAAGCAGTGGGTGGGGGTGAGGACGGGCTAATCTTCATACTTAGGGGAATCTGGCCAATCTCCAGGCAGGAGGCCTGGCATGGTGGCTAGGTCAGCCCTTAAGTAGGAGAGAAACTTTTTTTTTGCTCTCTATGTGCTGCTGCATAGTACCTTGCTAACATATGTGCTTACACAAGTTATGTTTCCAAAGGAAACTGCAGACTTAGAATGTGTTGCTTCTACAAGATTGTATTTTTATTGTGAAATTGGAAGCCATCTGTTTACTTTCTCTTTTTTAAAATTTTTTCTCCTCTGATATGAGGTTTCTGATTGTTTATGTTTTTATGTTGCTGCTTCATCTCTTTATTATTATTGCAGACAAGCCTGTAGAGAGCCTGGTCAGCAGGAGAGTCGGGTGGAAGATGGAGTTGCGGAAGTGCTGCTGATGTGAAGCCTGGCAGAGGGCCCCAGAGGAGGGGGTCTGCCTGCAGGCTGAAGCTAGGCAGAAGGACCTCCACTGTCCCACAGTCTACTGGGGAGGGACAGCCTATCAACAGGAAAGGAGCCAGCCCAGTGTAAGGCCTAAAAGTAGCTTCAACCATTAAGCTACAGGAACAGGACAGTATGAGTACTTTTACACCCCCTGGGTCAAAGAAGGGAGATGACGGTCAGGTGCCATACCAAGCTAGTTCTTCCTGGGACTACTTAATTTGTATGTCTCAAAATCCCTTGCTCAGGGACATTGCCAAGACAGCCAGATGGATGAGGAGATTTTTATTTGGGGTCTGAGGAGGTTCATTTAAGGAGACCAAGTGCTCCTTGCAAAGACTGTATGACGATTTTTGCCTTTTCGTGTCTAAGAAGTTGTCCTCCGAGTTGTTACAGTTCCATTGGGCATGCCATATACCCCTAGACCCTATCTGAGTTGTTAACTCCTAATTAAACAACAACAAAAAAGCTCACGAGCTGTTTACTGACTGTGGATGAAAGTGTGGAAAATGCGTGTTACCTGACTGTGCAGAGCTTAGAGGGACCCAAAAACTCAGCAGCCCTCAAGATGTTAGCACTACACTTGCAAAGAAAATAAAATGATTTCACAAGCAATACTGGTATGTAATGCAGTGTCTTCTTGCAGAAGACTAAAATAATTGGTCCTTGCCCACAGTCACTGGGCACCCTAATGCTTCTTTTGCTAATGGCAGTAATACAAATTAAAATTAGCTGGAGGAGAAATTAAAAGTCTACAGGTCAGTAACCACTGTCTCTCACAGACAAGTGAATGAGACATTGACAAGTACAATTTCTTCAGTCTTTGCATTCTGTAGTAACCACATCATTTGCTGTAAAGTAGTT